GGGCGGCAAGCTACGGGAACACGCAAAAACGGCAGATCGAGTTAGAAAAGTCGTGCCTGAAGGAGGGGTAGACACGCTGAGTCCCGGGCAGACTGTGGCTTCTGAGCCCTCGCAGTCCACGGGGCTTCTCGAGTGGTTTTTTGCTGCTGAGCAAGCCCAGGCCTTGGGACACACCCTCGTGTGCCACCTCAACGTCTATGCCATGGTCACTTTGTTACGGTCCCCCGTCATGGGAGCCAAAAGCGACACCGGCAAGAAGCAGGCCAAACAGTTGCAGGACATAATCCGCACCCTTCTCGAGAAAGACCTGCTCGTGACACCTCCTCATTCGCAGTTGCCCCTGTCAAGCCTACTGAAGTTGTGCAAGGATTGCGAAGACGCGGCGTGGGCCTGAGCTTCCCAGATTCTGTGCGCTTGTGCTTGTGTGTGTGTGTGTGTGTGTGTCTGTCTCTGTGTGTGTGTGTGGAGCAATGAGTGATCAGTGATAAGTGATAAGTGCTACTTGTGATGTGTGATGTGTGATGTGTGATGTGTGATGTGTGATGTGTGTGTGTGTGTGTGTCATGGAGCCTTAGGGTTTAGGGGTTTAAGGGTTTGGGTGTTGCTTTAGGATTTTAAGGTTTAGGGTTTAGGGTTGAGGGTTTAGGGTTTCGCAGGGACTTGAGGATTCAATAAGTTGGGAAATGCCCCTGCGTTGCCCGAATGTATATGTCTAGTTAAAGACACCGACTAGCAAGGCCCGGTAAAGGTACGGGAAGACGTTGACCGCAAGCCTATGTATGCTTGTTATCAGTCTCTGCTTCGATTAGATGGGTCGCTCTTCTGAAGTTCTTGTTCTTGTTCTTTTTGCATGGTACCAGGTCAAGCGAACCGTCGGTAAATGTACTGTGGTTGTGGACGAGAAATGGCCGAAGTGCGAAGAGTCCGTGAAGAAGCTGAAGGAGTTAAGTGAGCTACCCCAAGTAATCCCGACCCCAGCTCAAAAGAAGCCCGATGAGTGGACCGTGGAAGGCAACGGAAGGCGGCTGAGGAGGAAGGTGTCTATCCCAGACTTAGCAAGCGCGGCCACTGCGGCCACGCCCGCAACAAGTGGAGCTGCTGAGGCAAAACCTTCTCCGCCCTCAGGGCTGGGCGTTGTGTCCTGCGCAAGCCACGGGCCCGAATGCCCAGATCCGTCGACACCGTCCCAGGCAACCCAAGACAACAAGCAGCCGCTGTCGCCGAATACGGAGAAAGTCATGCTCCGAGCCCTGGAGCAGAATCTCTTCGAGGAGGAGGAGGAGGACATATCCAAGCAACAACTTGTGGTTCCGGAGCCGGCTTCATTCGCTGACAGTGACAGTAGTTCCACGGTGCGCAAGGTCCTGGATACCGATACGATTGGCAAGCCAGAAGCACCCGAGAAAAATGCAAACATGACAAAAGACCAAGATGGCACAAAAGAGAAAGACTCTTCGAAGAAGCACAAGAAAGACAAGAAGAAAGACAAGAAGGAGAAAGCTGAGAAGAAGGACAAAGCCGAGAAGAAGGACAAGGAAGGGAAGAAGGACAAAGATGGGAAGAAGCAGAAGGAAGTGAAAAAGGAGAAGAAGGAGAAGAAGGAGAAGAAGGAGAAGAAGGATGAGGAAGGCAAGAAGAAGAAGAAGAAGGAGAACGAAAAGAAAGACGACAGCAAGCAAACGGACCAAGACAAGGAGGCAGCTGCAAAGAAGCGGAAGCTTGCCGAGCCTGCCAAGACGGCAGCCCCAGAGCCTGCTGCGCCGAGTGGAGGGCGTGGCCGGGGTCGCGGCCGTGGCCGCGGCAGAGGCGGTGCTGTCGGGCAGGGCAACGATGGCAGAACGGAAGGCAGGACAAGGGCGGCTTTGGCTAAGTTAGACACGACAAGCAGAATGCCTCTGGCAAAGATGTTCGCGTCCATGAAGGTCGAAAAGAAGTAGCAACCTCGGCCTTGGGCCTGGCATGCGAAAAGGTGAGCGCCGAAAGGCGAAAGCTTGCAGACAAGGACGACTTTCGAGAGATCATTCGTGTAGGCCTGCTTCTCACACAGCAGTTCAGCAGTAAGACCCCATGAATGTGACTGTACAGCATTGTGCCCTGTTGCCTGCGCCGGCTTGTCAGAAAAGACTGCGAGCACATGTTTCGTTGATGCTGCGTGCGAGTCTTGTTGGTATGATATGTGTAATGTTCAGTGATGATGTTACATTTTCATGTTCATATTAATATTCATGTTCATGTGATTCATGTTCGTGTTATGCTCATGTTTATGTTCATGTTCATGTTCTCCTGCAAAGAGCTGGTTGACGGTGCCCGGCATTTCCCTGAAGGATCGCAGCGTCAGCCGGCGAAGCAACTAGGAACTACCCAAGTCCAGTGGGGGATGTAGATAAATCTGTAATTCCTTTTCAGTTTGGTTTGTGGAGTTTTTTTGGTTCAGCTTAGGCTTAGGGTCAGTGCTGGAACGGTTTCGGTTAAAGTCGTGGGTTTTTGTGAGACCTCTCCGCTCGGCTGCACGGAGCGTTGTTTCAAGTTTGCCATGCAGCGCGAAGGCGAAGGTGCGACAAAGCGGGCCTTAAGGCGCCACGCCACGGTGGATGGCACGAAGCTGCAAGAGCAGATGGACCTAGCTCGCACGCGGCAGATTGCAGCAGAGACCTTGCACGATGGCACTTGGTTGTTGCAAGCAGCTCGCGAAAACAGCAACATCGTCTCGGACTTGACAAACCGGCCACTTTTTCCATCACGGTCTCTGACCTGGGGATCGTGCTGCAGTGGCTCCGAAGGCGTTCGGTTTGTCTTTGAGGCCCTCCAGCTGCTTGCAGCAGAACATGGGCACGGCATCACTTTCCAACACATGTTCAGTTGCGAATCTGCACCTGAGAAGCGGCAATGGATTCAGCTTGTGTCTGAATTTGCAGGCCCGGTCATGCAGAAAATTAAATCATGTTTGGATGGAGGTGTCGAGGTCGAGGACAACGAGGACAATCTCATTGCCCGTGAGCGCTCGCCCTGCCTCTTCACGGACATATGTACCTTGGGCGGTAGCCATAGTGAGTGCGTGGCTCATGGGCCCAACCATCAAGGCACTTTCAACTCTAGTGGGGTCTCTGAGCAAGGAAGGGGTCGTTGCCCTGTCCCACAGGTGGATCTTCTAGTCGTTGGTACAAGCTGCAAGGATATGTCGCGAGCCAACAACAGCAGCAGCAAAGGTCGAAGTCCTCCTGTCTTGCTACAGGAGAAGTCAAAAGGCGGCAGCGCGCAGACTTTCCAAGGTATGCTGGCTTTCATTGATGCTCACTCCCCTGGCATCGTACTGTTTGAGAATGTTGATGCCATGGAGGACAAGACAGGGGGCAACAGCAATAATCTGGATATTGCCCTAGCTGAGATGAGCAATAGAGGGTATGAGAGTCAGGTAATCATGACAGACGCCTCTACGATGGGCCTTCCTGCACGCAGAAGACGTGTCTACATTGTGTTTTTGAGAGTTGCAGGCAATGCTTTGGTGGACTTTGCCCAGCGTTCGATGACAGCCATGTTTGCCACGTTAAGAGCCGCCATGTGTGTTTGCGTACGCTCTGCTTGTTGCGGCACGGAGATTTTCTTGCCAGATGACGATGCAGCAGTGCTCTCGGAGCTTGAGGTCCGTCAGCAGAAGCGGGCAAGGCAACAAGAACTGGCTCAGAAGAGTCCACCTGCGGCTCAAACGTGGATGGACTCTCACTTCAATTTTGCACGAAGCATCAAGTATCGTTGGGGCGAGCCCGTGCCCCAAGATCTCAAAGAGAACCCATGGTTCCGGACCTTGACAGAGAGAGAGCAAGATGTGTTGAGATTGTGTCGCGTGCAAGCCCATCAGCTGCAGAGAGATTCAACACCAATACTTTTCACGGACGTGTCGCAATCCATTGTGAGGGCACTTACCCCATCATTTGATGGCAATGACGGCCATCATGTTTTGCCCACCGTGTTGCCCCGCATGCTCTTGTGGCACGACCAAATTGGACGTCTCCAACTTGGTCGTGAGGCTTTGATGTGTCAAGGCTTTCCAGCTGTGCCGTTCTTGAATCACTGCGAATCCGTGAAGCGGCCTCAGGCCTGGTCCCCAAGCGAGAACCTCCTGCAAGATTTAGCGGGAAATGCGATGGCGCTCCCAGTCCTACTGGGGATACTCCAGAGCATGTTTGTGTCCTTTTCTTGGCAAGGCTCGGCTGACATAGACTTGGCCGACGAAGAAACAAAACCACCTCGAAGGGCCGTCAGTGAAGAGGCGTGCCTTTAGTGATGTTTCTTTTCTTGCTTTCTTGCTCCATGTACTCTCATGTGAAATATTTTCGTAGTTGTCATCCAAGCTTGTCGTTGTGAAGGACATCCACACGGCGCTCGCTGCTATCAACATGGTCTCTGACCCTGGTCCTGCGCAGAGGGTAGAGCCAGAGCAATCCAAGTCCGTTTCAGTAAGATCGGCTCTGCAAAGCCGCATTCTCAAGCGAGCCAGGAAGAACTTTGAGGGTTCCGACCTTTAGCCAGTAGCTTCAGCCGCTATTACCACTATTAGCCCACCCACCGCCAGGAAGGCCCGCGGGAGAAAAAACAGACAGCGCGTTCAACAAGCAATCGTTCTTGCTTCTTGGTTTTGCCAATGTGGTCCTTGTGACTTAGACTTGCCGGCCGTGAGGTAGCCATATATAAGATGTCTGGATCATTAGCCAAAAGGACGAACATCAGAATAGAATGTTTTTGAAACCATGTTCGGGATTTTTGTGTTTTTGGGAGGTTTTTGGCAGAAATTCTTTCAATTTTACAACATTTTCGAGAAAGATTTTCGAAAAATGTTTTCCTCTTTTTTTTGTGTTTTTTCATATGCAACATGACCTATATAGCCCTAAACCCACAGGCCTCCTGAAATCACCCAAACTGTTGAAGTCCCGTGGGTGTATGTGGCTGTGCATGTACTCGTAAGGTGGCATCACGGGCAAAGCTTGCTTCGGCTTCAGTTGCAGGCTGCAGCTGCTGTCTTCCGCTTGGGCTTGGAGCGCTATGGCGACCGCGAGCCAGCGCTGCTAGCTGCCTACGTGAACTTCCTTCTCGGCTACTCGGAAGCAGGGTTCAGCTGTAGCTTTTGACAGCAGCTCTGAACTCTTCTCAGCTGCAATACGGCAATGCGGCAATGCACCAGTGTAAACATAGTATCCTGAGCGGAGTCGACGTCGCTACACTCTTGGCATCGTGTCAAGGTTTGGGGTTTTCGTGTCTTGGATTTAGAATTCGATTGACTAGGCCCCTCCCACCCTCTTTCAAGCCTCACCCCCCAGTTGCGGCATCGTTGATTTGCCTGTCCTGCTGGCCCGCTGCTGGTGATGGTGGTGGTGATGGTGGTGGTGGTGGTGGTGGTGCCGGTGCCGGTGCCGGTGCCAGTGCTGGTGCTGGTGCTGGTGCTGCTGGTGGTGGTGGTGGTGCTGCTGCTGCTTCTGCCGCTGTTATGCGCATTGAACTGTCGCTGAATTGCTGCTCCTGCTGCCGTTGCTAATGTAAACGCTTCGCGACCCGCCTCGGCCGGGGCCTGCCGAGCGCGGATGAGGAGGTGCTGATAGGCTTCCGCGCTTTGAAAGGCTTCCTGCAGTCACTGCAGTCATCCCCTTTTCCGACCCTGTTGTAACACACCCCAAATGTGGGAGACTGGGTTTGTGTGGTGAGGGGAAGTAAAGGAGTGTGGGGGTCGGGGGTGGGAGGGGGTGGGGAGGGGGTGGGGAGGGGGTGGGGAGGGGGTGGGGAGGGGGGGCTGCGACGACTGTGCCCGTTGCCATGTCTGCTGTCATCCTCTTGTTGCCGTCTGCTGTGGTTCTTCCCGATTACAGCAGCAAGAATGCACCAACCATGCATGCATGATGCTGGTGATGCTGGTGATGCTGGTGATGCTGGTGATGATGATGATGATGATGATGATGATCCTGCGCTGGGTCTCGCTCATGCTCCCGGGGCACGAGGGGGTCGGGGATGTCCTGCCCCGCGGGCCCTGGCGCAGCGATGCGCGCATTTGGCTGCGTGTGCCGCTTTTGCCCTCATGCCTCGCATCGCGCTGCGACTTTTTCGTTTGTTGCTCTTGCTGCGCTGCCCTCAGAAGTAGGGAGGTGCTGCAGCCACCTCGGGGTAGTCTGGTTCTGTGCTGCCCTCAGCAGTAGGATTGGACTCCGAATGTTCACCGCTGTTGGGGGACGTGTCGACATGGCCGAGTGTGTTTAATCTTGTTTATTGGTCTTGCCAGTGCCCTTCCTAGAGTGTTTTTTCATCCGTTGTTGACGCTTTCTGTTTATTCTTCCTGCCCGTGTTTCTGTTGCTCATCCGACGCCCCTGAGACTCGGACTACAAAGGTGTCACATACAACTCCAACGACATCTTCTGCTGTTGTGACTCGCCACCACCTTCAACCAAATACCAAGCAGAGACATGTTGAGTCACATCCGCGAGGATCAGGGCAAGCTCCGGACGGACCAAGAGAGAAGGGGAGATCACAGCAAGTCAGCCTGCTGAACAGTCGTCCCCGCGCACATGCACATCACACACACACACACACACATTGGCAAGCAAGTAGGCGGGTGAGCCAGTTTGAAGCAGCCCGGTTTTGGCAATCGTTGAGCAGGTTGCAGGATGTGCACTTGTTCCCTGCAGCACATACGTCGGGGTGTCAGTCTTCAAAAAAGGGGTCCGATCAAGAATGGAACGGCCGGGCAAGACCGGAAAGATGATCAGGAAATGAACGAATCTGAAGCTGTGCCGCGAATTGTGAAGCAGTTGGGGGTCCCAGAGTCCAGCGCGGCGCGTTGACAAAGCACTTGAGTGAGCCCAAGGCTGCAATGATCTGCGCAGTGCGCGCGCTGAGCTGTCACAGGGAGTTCTCGAGCGGCTGCAGCAGGTGCCGAGCAAGAACAATAAATAAGGTAGCCAGGCCTGTCGGCCTATCCATGTGTGACAGTTGCAGGCTGTGCGTGATCGCCTGGCCAACCGCGAGGAGCCACCTTTCCGTTTCATTGCAACCTTGTTTCTCATGGACATGTCGCTTCTGCTGACGCAGGAGAGCCTTGGACTTCGAGAATCCCTGGCCTTCCTGTGGCAGAAGTGGGCCAGGCTCTGCCGAAAGATGTATTGTTTGCCAAGTCTTTAGCGCGTGGGGATTTCCAAGTCTCCTGGCAAAGCGCACGAAGTTTGGAAACTGAGCGGTAACCCATGACGGCGAGCTGTTTCGAGAAAGGTGTTACGGCGTCGGTTTCTACACCAGACTTGGTCCAGCGTTTCACCTTTCAATACTTGGAGCTGTGCCAGAAGCCTGTCACAAGTTGTCACGTCTCCATGCTCATCCCGGTGTTGCAAGTCATTGCAAGTAATTGCCAGTTATGGCAAGTTAACAGACAGGAGCGGAAATCAGTGTTTGGCTCATGCCTGGAGCTCTTGAAGCGGGGCGGTGGCCGGAGAAAAGAGCCCGGCCTGGCGCATGGCACCGGTGTTCGATGGTGCTCGCCAGTATTGGCCCATTGCTCGCCCAGCACACTCTGAGGAGTTTTAAAGAAACGGAATATGTCTGACGTATGAGTGTCGACAGATATGGAAAGTGGCAGGCAGCGCAGGACTTCTGGCTGCAGCCGAGGGGCAGCCTCTAAGACGTAGGCTCCTGCGAAGCGGCCGGTGCTAGACGCTATTTCGGACGACACGCATGTTCGAAGAGCGGGAGGAAAGTAGCCCCCGGACGTGCTTATATCCATGAATGGCTGATGGAGAAATTGTCCTTGAGTGAGCTTCAGCGGTCTTTTGCAGAAGAACGGGCAATGGCGGCTCCCTGGTCGTCCTGGGAAGAAGAAGAGAAGACATGATGTCCAGGTCAACCGGATAACCGACGGCAGCCGACCACTGGGGGGTCGAGGTGATAAGGGAAGTGATAGACCAAGATCGTGCAGCCTTCTCTGATGTTTCAGAGCCCATTGACATACAAGCCTGCTAAAAGTGAGCGTGGCGTTTTGGGCTGTGCTCGGGGATAGCCCGGACGCGGATCTGGGATGTTCTGGGAGATATCTTCCGAATCTTCTTGACAGGTACGAGTGGCGACAGTACACGTTAACGTTTCTCCTTAAGCTTTAGCTGCATAAGACGTCGAGGTGTTTGATGGTAGGCAGGAGTGCATTTTAGAAAGGAGATTGTGAGGACATGCAACATGACATAATGATATGTGATGTCCCCGAGTTTCAAGGCCCGCCGAAAGGTGGGCACATCTCAACGCACAGAGAAACGCGTGGAAAATCCGGCAGACAAACCCTGGACGGCACTTACCCAGAACAGCTCCACACCCTGAGAATCCCGCCCCAGAGAATCACGCGCAGAGATTTTTGTCGACGGAGAGTCCCACAAAGTACCCTTGAAATCCCGTCCCAGAGAGAATCCTGGAGTTGTCCGCCCGATCCCCCAGTGCCCCCGCAGATGATGGTGCCTCATGTCCTAGATCTTGGCTCGGCTCTTCCTTCTCGTTGGGCAGGCTGGAATGCTATTTTGGCGATGCCGAGGCAGTCCGACGTGCTACATCCTTCCGGGATTCCGAGACTTGCCAGAAAAACAACAATTGACAAGAGCATGCAAGTTTGGAGTTTAGCCATTGCCGTTTTTGCTTTTTCTTGTCCAGGAGTATCGAAACCTTCAGCGAGACTTGGAAGTGGACGCAGAGAACATATTGCAGACACCCATCTCTTTGGGCCTGCAGCGACCTTACGCAACGGCTTCCAAGAGAGTTCCGCGTGGCCCTGACACAGCAAAGGTCCACATCAATCCAAGAGGTGGAAGAAGGCTTTCGCTTCCTCCACTTGCTTCCCAGGCAGGGTTTGTCGCATTGCACACGTTTGTACACGTTTGCACGCGTTTGCACACGTTTGCACACGGTGAACATAAGCAGGTCGACCCGCCCTGAGCCCGCAGTGTGCCCAGAGGATGCTTTGGCGGTGCAGCTGGAGGATTGAATTTGAAACTGCGTATATAAAGAGCCTTGGGGCAGAAAATTGTGGCAAGGCAGGCTACCGAACCATTAGTATCCCTCAGTAACTTGCCGTGGCAGGATCAAGCTGTTGCGGACGCGGAGGGTGATCACCGACGCTTGGGAAATGCAACTCCAGCCATTGGACTGTCTTCCCACATCGCGCGGCCTGACACCTCCAAGATGTTGACCTTCAGACCGGCATTGGATGTCGCTAGCGCTCGAAAGAGGCAGCTCGACGCAGGCCAGGGCGGTCAGGAGCGGGAAGACAAAGCTCAGCTGCCGGTGATGATTCCGAAGTGCCTGCAAGACTTGCTCGCCGTGCTTCCTTCGAGGCCAGTGAGACAGGGAGAGCAGAAGGAGAGAATTTTCATTTTCAGAAGTTGTCTCTGAAGCACAAGGCCACTGAAAGGAGCAAAGCCTGATGTGGATTACCTGCTCACAGTTCTGCAGACCGTGTCGATTCCTCCAGTCCCAGCCGCTTGTCCTCAGAGCAGAAACCATTGCTCCCAGATCTCCGTGCGTGTCCGTGCGCGCAGTTTGGGTTGAGTGGGCACATGCTGAGCGAGCACATCGGGCCAAGGTAAAGGAGCTCGACACCTTCCGCTATGATAGCTTGCGCCTCCTGAAAACAGAGGAGGAACCGTCCAACAGCTTGAAGTTGCCCACTTGCCAGATGCATTGCGACACCACAAATCCACCCATGCCCTGAAGAAGACGATAAACTCTGCAGCTGTCAACCCCAAACCAAACCAGTTGAAAATGCTTGAGCCCGCCTGACGTGATACACAATTTTGGGCCTCTCTTCTCCAGTGCTTTCGATACATACATTCAGCAGTCAGTTGTTCTCTTTGCGTTTGTTCCGGATTTGCATGCCCGATCACGCTAGCAGCTTCAACCCCTCCACCCTGGCAGGACACTCGCAGGTTTGTCAAAGATGAGGACGATGATGGGAATGGCTTTTTCAGCTCTCGATCCACACTTTACCGTGAACGCCTGCAAGCAAAGCGTGCATTGCTCTTCAATTAGATGGGCTTTATTGGTGGGGACTTTCTTGCAACATGAACGCTAGGACATGGTAGTAGGTGCCTTGAGCTGTGGTTCTTGTCTCCGAGGCCAAAAAGTCTTGGTCGAGCAGCACACAAAACCAGAGACCTGAGACTTGGAGAAAAAAGCAGTTGTCTGTCACGATCGTTGGGCATCGGTAGTTAAACCTGCATGCCCGAAACGAAATGCCCGTACCCTCAACAACCGCCAAGCCAGACCGACCCGGTCTGTCACAAGACCAGGAAGGCCCATCCCACAACGTAAGATCACGCCAATGTTCTATGACAGTTTGGAAGGAAACTGTGTGAAGGGCACCTTGCCCCTTACTCCTGATGCCTCATTCCCTACTGTCACGAGGACGGCTGCTAGAACAGCTGTGTGACAAGAAGCTGCTGATGTGAGTGCTGAGTGCAAGCGTTTATTTTAGCTGCGGCGAGATGCAGAGTCCAAAGCGGTGGAGCAGGGCAGAAAAAGGGGACTCTGAGAAATGCAGGGAGGTCGCACGCAAGCCGATGATTTTCCAGCTGCTGCTCGCGCTGTTCTTTTCCTTGACTGAGGTTTGTTCGGTTGCGGCAGCTGCGGAGCAAGTGGAGGTCGCTCCTTGTTTTTTGTCCCATGCACGCGGCTCACAGCGCCACATTGCGACCACCTCAAGTGCTGGAGTCTTGTGGCCATACTGCCATACTCATACGCCCGCTGTGCTCGGAGGCCAGCCCTGCAGCGTCGGATGCTGAGCTGCCTCATAGCCTCGTGCAGATGCTGGTAGATGCTGGTAGATGCGAAAGCCTGGAGTCGAGCTCGCATTCGCTTTGTTTTGTGCACGGCTTGCAATCTCAGCTCCAAAAATCTTCAAAAGGCAAGATGGACACTTCGACGCCGAGGAGACCGGTGCCTTGGCGCTTTACTTGCAAGTCCTCTTACTCTGCCAGCCGCACAGCCGGGTGGCACGGCGATTTTTCGTCGCGTCAGATATCTTGTCCAGGCACCAGCACCGTCCGCGAGCTGCTAGCAAGAGTGCTTGCCGAAAACAGTACCAGCTGCCAGCTGCCAACATGCAACCGTCGCACAGAGAGGCCCCAAACTTTCAAGAGCTCTCAAGCCAGCAGCGTTTACTGTTTTGGGGCTTTACATGAAGTCCGAGTGTCCTCAGTCCCGAATCTGAAGCAGAAGCAATGTTTTTGGAGCAACTAGGGGAGAGCACATACTTTACATACTGGAGCAGCGACTCTGTAGTCTGTAGTCGAGTAGTTGCTCAAGGGCTTCTGTTGTTCTTTCATATTGGAAGGAGCTTGTGCGGTGCGCATCTCGTCCTTATAACTCGTGGTGAGGGATGGCCTGCTTTTTTGGTAGGGGGAGAATTTTGACTCTTCTTACTTTTTCTCTCAATGACGATTGCATCGCCCACGCCTGCTTTTGCTCGACAGCTCCCAGTGTCTCCCATTAGCAGCAGCAGACCACCTCAGCCCCGAAGCGCTGAATCCCAAACGCTTAAGTCAGACTCCCAAAGCCTTGCGCCCAAATCCATCAGAACCCCCGCGGATCCCTGACGCAAACCAGAAATCCCTGACCCTGGGTCCTGAGGCTTCTTTTTGTAGCAGGCAGCGCTCGGATGCTTGAGTGGCTGGACACGCGCTCGAGCAGGCCATCGTCACGTGAAGTGATAGTTTCGCCGGATGGTCGGCCCTACAACAAGGAGCGCGCAGCTTTTGAGGTGAAATGAGTGAGTTTGTGAATTGCAGGGAGGCTGCCCAGAACCCGTGGTGGAATTGGGGGCACTTCATGAAATGTGTGTGAAAAAAGGACCAGCCCTAAAAAGCCCTCCCGGTTTTCAGACACATCTTATCACATCCTGGCCCCTCACAGGCAAGAGAAAGGGTAAAACCCAGACTACAAGCAGCCCAGAACGCAGAGCAACAAGCATGGCTCCATCGATGTTGTGGCCGAGCATGCTTGCATAAACTTGCAGTCTGCCAAGCACTGTTTTGCAAGTCGAGGGTGTGACCGTCAGGAGCAGAAGCAACTCCGGCAACTTCTGGAAAAGGCAAAGCGAGAACGGCGCAGTCCAGATCCCTCCTTGCTGCTCGGACGGAGTAATGCAATCATCGGTGATCACCCGTGTGTTCCGTGAGGCTCATGTTGCATTCAAAGCATCGCACAGCCTCAGACTTTGTTTGTTCTGCCACACAGCCGAATGGGAGTGGGGCAAGTGGTGGGGGGGGGGGGGGCAAGTGTGCAAGTGGGGCAAGTGGGTCAAGTGGGGCAAGTGCCCGCCTCCCCCCTCCCCTCCTTCCACAAGTCTGCATCAGACTGGGCAGCCCGATTTGAGGCAGACTTTTGGTTCGGGCGAGCAGGGGTCGGGGGTGGGGATTTGGGGTGCCCCTCACTTGCCCCACTTGCTTGCCCCACTTGCACTTGCCCCACTTGCCCCACTTGCCCCACCCACTTGCCCCTCTGCCCCAATATATCCACCCACAACCAGTTAAAAGTTGCCCCTACAAGACATTGGAAGTAGTCTGGGTTGCCACCTTGCAAGCCAAGCGGCACTGCAAGCAAAGGGATCGAGCTCACCCAAAGACGGGTGGACACACCTTTGTCGCACAGCCTGACGAGCTGAATGGCCATAGTCTGACGGTGAGGGATGTGGGGACAATAGTTGTTGCTTGCACAAAGAAAGCCTTTGTGTTTCCCGGCACTTTCGAGGTTGCAGCGGTGTGGACGGCGTGGCCTTCTGAATGAGGCGCTGGCACTTCTTAAGTCCATCCCTTTTCCATTTTGCGTTCACTGCTTCTAGAGCACTTTCTTACCGAATTCAAGTGGCAAACGAGCACAAGCTGGCATGCTGTAGGTTGCGGCCTTCATGGATGGCAATGCAGGTCATCTGAGCTGCCATTGTGAGTTGTGAGTAGCACCAGTAAGCTGGAATGAGCTGGGTGCGGAGTGCAGATGTCGGTAAGAGGCATCTTCCTAATTAATTGCCATTCTGTTTAATCTTTTTTCAAGGTTCGGCTGTGGAGGCTGCCATGGCGGCTTGTCGGGCGCACAAGACACGTTTTGGCGGAGATCTTTCCAAGAAGCCCGAAAATCGTTGCGGTGTCCAGACGCTCATGCCTTCCCGGCATGACCTCTTTGCCAAGGCATCCCAACTGGCCGATGGCAGCATGTCGCCCGTCTGCACGAAGCACGGCCTAAGGAGCGACAAGGGGGTCATTCAGGTGCAATTCGTTCTCGGAGCCGCTTACTGTAATCTTGCAGAAGTCTACAATTTGGCTTGATTTGGCCGAAGAGGGACTGGCCAGGAGATGTACTGAATGTACCGGTAGCATGCTTGCAAGTGACGTGTCCGCTCGACTAATTTTGCGTGGATGCTCGAGGCTCTGTCGTTCCTTGCCTCTCTTCAACAAGAGGGTCTGGAGATCAGCCACAAGGCACAATGTCTCAGCTGTTTGTTCCATGGCTTGTTTTTGACTTTTGTTTGCATTCTTTTGCCAGCCGGTAAAGTTCAAGCATGGCTTCGGGTGCGCAGCGTGTATCCCTGTGGCCACGTCGGAGCTTCAGACGCTTGTGGCGCCTGGCTGGTGGGTTGCCGTCCGAAGTAGTTGTGTCGGGCCATGTCTTGCCTTGTCAAGCCGGTGCCCCAAGTTTTTTCAGAAGGACCGGTTGGGCGAAGAAATAGACAACATTCATAGAAGAAGCCGAGAAGGCCTCAATAGGACATGCAATGACATGCACAGGCTGCAGATTGTGTCGTGAATGCGTCAATGGTCTGGAGGAGCTGGTGGACTGGTGGTATGTGAGGCGACAGTACCGTTTTGGCTCATTGGCCGTGTGTCGGAGCCCGATGTCTTTATCTGGAGCGCCATGACGTTTTTGAGGCTTGGTCTGAGAATGTCTGAGAAGATGCCAGCAGCAAAATCAAGCAGCAAAGCAGCAAAGTTGGGTTTCGAATCTAAGTCAGTTTCAGCAACAGATGTCAGACATTCTCGCAGGGGGCCTTCGTGCACTGAGGAAGGACTCTAGTGCTTCATTCAAGCAGGCGGTGTCGATACTACCGCATGGGCTTGAAGTGGTGGGTGTGCTTGGCCTTGGTTGTACAAGGCCCGAGTGGCCAGCAGACGTGCCCCCAGAAGCTCGTGGCTTGCCATTGCTGGCCACGCGAGCAGAGGACGGCCAGGTAAAAGCATGGGAGATGAAGAGTGGCCGCGAGCGCAACACCTGGCAGATTGCCGAGCCAAGTGAGATCTGTGCGTACTCTTCTCTGAGTATTGTCTTACCCACTTGTCAGGTTGAGGCTATCGCCTTGCTGCGTTCGATGCTTAGAAGCATAGCGGCAGAAATGCGCTTCCGCTTTCCCGGAACGCAGATGGTGCCATCGATGGCCGATTTGCGGGCGGACAAAGATCACAAATTGGACGTGCTTTGGAAGCCTACGGAATCTGGCACTGCCTCCGCTGTGGCCGTGGAAGTTTTCTTTGAGGCCTTGGGAAACGATGAGCGCTCCAATGTCATGGAGTTCCAGTGTCAGGCACCACCCAGGCAGCGAATAGACTTTGCGGCCTATGTTCCTGCGAATTCCACCGCACGGGTTGTTGCGCACTGCCTTGTTGAAGCTGCTACTTTTCAATTGAATCGGGTGCTCGATGAGGTTTCAGCCCAACGACTTGGGAACGATGGTCTCGCAGTTCGCTGCTATCTTCTCGAGATTCTCGGGCATGCCGTTTGTCTGAGGGGCACAGAAGACCAGAACATTCGACGGGAACTGCACCAGCTGCTCCGGCTTCCTCAAGTGCCTCTTCTAGTCCCCAGTGCCGCGCTGGCACTTGCCGGCCAGGCAGGTGACAAACATTGAACCATTTTGGTGTCACTTGACATCTTTTTGCTGAGCATTGCCTTGTCGGAGCCTTTTGGGTAGTCGAGCCTTGACGAAGTTCAGGCTCATGCGATGGCCACAGGCAAGCCCACCAACCCGCACGTCAGTTGCGGTCTGAAGCCAACATGGTGGCAAGGCTCTGCCGAATCTACTCGCCTCGCTTTTGTCAAGGGTCTCTACGAATATCACCACTATATGCAGGATCATAGCCGGACTTAGTCCTAGTCATGTTTAGTTCGCTGTGATTTAGCATGCATGTTGCCATTTCTGCCTCTAAACTTGAGAAGCACAACAAAGGACAACTTTGATGACAATGGTTGGGGCTGTGCATACCGTTCTCTTCAGACCTGTGTCAGCTGGTACCGGATGCAACACTACAGCAGCGCTCCAGTTCCGAGCATCCCTGACATTCAGCGCTTCTTGAAGCGCATAGACGAGGCTCATCGAGAACTCGAAGTGGGAAGCGATACCTGGATCGGCACAGTGGAGGGCATGTACATCTTGCAGGAATACCTGAAAGTTGATTGCAAGATGATGTATTGTCAAGATGCCGCAGACATGGCAAGCCAGGCGCCGCAGATGCTGCAACACCTCGAAGCAGAGGGCACGCCAATCATGACGGGTGCTGGCAGGTATGCATACACGATTGTTGGCTTGTGCTTTGATTCCTCTTTGGGTGATGTGGCATACCTCATCGTTGACCCCCACTACACGGGCAAGGACGACATCAAGCTTATCCTGCAGAAAGGCTGGGTTGGGTGGAAGACCGTGGATTTCTTCGAGAAAAGCACGGACGGAGGCTTCATTAACTGCTGCTTGCCCTTGGCACCATGTGGTCCGGAGCATCTGTGATGTCGAGGTGATCTCCAACCGCTTTGTGACTTCGTGGTCCAAAGTGTCCAGGGGTCAAGTCAAGGCAATGTGGATCAGAGTAGTGGGGTCAGTCTCCGAATGGTGCGGCTGGCAATTCTTTCTGACCCTGGCGACCAACAGAAAGAGATGGCGTACATTGGTGTATTGAGCTGCATTCAGTGTGAGTCTGTGTTGTGCTGTGTCGTGCTATGGTCTATCCCGTGGCAAGGCGCTGTGTCTTACCATTCGCGCCTGTCGTCAAGGAGTCTTCGACTAAGAAGTTGCATGAGTTAACATACCGTGCAGACCCCAAGCCTGCATGAGGTGAATGGAAGAAATCACGATCAAAACTTGGCCGTGTGGCACAGTGTGGGCTTAGGATGCCTTGTTGAGGCTTGGCGAATTGGGCTACAGCTCCTGGGTGAAGCAGGCAGCCTGTTCCTGCTGCTTTACTGAGTTTTGGGCATTAAGATAAAGGTCATGATCTCAAGGGATTATCCTCAAGATGTGCTTAGAACTGAGATTTTGAACACAGCTGGAAGGCCTGGCAACATGCAGGTCTGGAGCATTCTTCTACCCCCACTCTGCCCCTTCAGGCTCCATGAAAAAAGGGGAGGGAGTCCTTTGGCCAAGAAACCATCGTTTCAACTTCGGCATCTACTGTGTCTACCCCATCCATTGCCATAAGTGTTTAGTTGATGCCCGCGTGCGGTTCAGCCAGAGTGTACCGCAGCCGATCTGCCCCAGCGCAAGAGCTTGCAGGGGGAGCAGCTTATGGCTTCGCTGCTGCTGACAAATCAAATCATTGAGTGGCTTGGGTGCGTTGGGTAGCAGTTCTGCTGCTGCAGATCAATCACGTTCGTTCTGGCATTCTGCATGATCAGGCTTGGGCATGCAACCTTTACGGTCGAACAAGACAAGGGTTGATCAAAAGGTCCGTGTCATTAGTTTTATCATCTACAACGGTTTTTATGGTGCAGAGCAATATGTCCGCGAAAATCTCGCGATGGGTCCGTGAAAGGAATGCAACAATCCGTGAAAGTTATGACGATTACGTGGAAATTATTACATAACACCTAAGCGTAGTGAAACTGAAACAGAGCCGGGCACACACACACACACACACACACACACCCCAAATTGATCAACCCTCACATGTCCTTGAATATGTAAGGCTGCTTGGGTTCACGAAGGCAGTGCGATGGTTCATGAGTCGTGAGGCTTTTCCAGAAGCATGACTCGGATGGGACTGGCGAAATTGACAAGGCAAAGCTCATCCAGGCCAGCGGCTTCTTACGGCATGTCATGGTGTTGTTTTTGCAGCTGGTCATTGCTCAAGGTCCTGCAACTGATGGAGGTTTGCCATGGCAGCGTGCAGAGGGCCGTAGACTCACATGAAATCCAACCCGGCAAGGTGCCTTAGCTGCGGGGCATAAAAATCTTGAAAAGAGACGCTTCCAGTATAGGTGACGAATCGTCATTGTTGTCATGATGCGTGCCATCAATGAAGCACAGGTGCGCTATCAGGACTTCTTGGACTGGGTTATGCATCCCACCTGCCCACCAGCGGAGGGGCGCAAAGCTGCGTGGCCCATTTTAGAGCGCACTTATTGCTGGGATCTCGTGCTGTAGAATCATCGTGCCAGAATGAGCCACGACACTGTCCTCTGAGCGAGGTTATCCTCCTGCTGGGGCCATCAGCAAGTGGAAAGAGCACGGTGTCTCCAAAACTGGCTGCTTGCCGCAGAAAAGATGCGGAAAGAGGGCTAAGCGGCTAAACATAGAAGCACATGCCTCAGGATGCTAGGGCAGTCAAAGGATAGCACCTGAGGCAGAACAGCTTGGCATCCCCAAGATCACCACACATGATCTGCTGTTCCTCGCCTTGTCAAGAGCTGGTAGACGAGAGAGCTGTGTGCGGCGGCAGCTTGATGCTAGGGCTAGGGATTCTTAACGGCTTTGGGCGGCGCCTCTTTCAACATCACTCTGTAGGCGAGCAGCTGTTGCTTTGGGATCGGCTGTGGGGAGACAAGTGGAAGGCGAGAGTCCCGTGCGTCACTGCAGGAGTTCTGTGGGCACCCGTGGGTCATTCCACTGCTTCATTGTGCACTTTTTACACGGACTGTCAGGCATCATGAAGAGAGGCGGAACGGTGCCAGATCCATTGCTAATGCAATTGATTCATGCACGTGTCCGTCTTCGAGACTGCAGCTCGGACATCAGACTCTGGTCAAAGCAAAGTGACCCTTCCATGGCATGTTGATGCGAAAGCACTCAGGCAGCCAGGGTTTTGTTCTCGATGGCTTCCCCGAGACTCTCAATCAGGCAAAGTTGTTGGATGCTTTGTTGGCGGAGTCCGGAGATGCAGTGACGGTCCTCCGGCAGAGGTATGCAGAGGTACGTGCTTGCGGACACATACTGTGCTTGTTGCATCTCCAGACTCCAAGATCTCCAAGTGCGCAGGCATGCGAAAGCGTTTGTGTCGAACCCCAGGCTGCACTATTCTTGGACGTATCCGAGGAGAAGCTGCACGCCCGAAAAATGGGGTCGGAAGCTCATCCGCAACCTGAAGTCGCGAGTCAAAGTTTGTGCGTACGAGGCGCTGGACTCACAAGCCTTCTGGACGTTCCTACCACATCACCTGGGCGCCACCCCAAAGTTTGGGGCCAGGACAAGTCAGCATAACTCCTGCCAGCATTCGCGAGTGACAGTGCATCGTGGTGGCCATGACAGGACAAGTTCCGTGTGAAGCCAATATGCGGGACGACGTCACAGGAACACAAGCTGACTTGCAAACAGCCAGAAAATCGTGACAAACCACCATTCCATAGCATTCCCCAGAGGAGAGGTCCTGATGGCCGCCGAAGGATGCCATCCTGACGAGCACAAGCAGGAGCTTGCGCATTATTGCCAGGACCCAGATGATGCACCGCAAAATATGCTTCTGTTCTCAGTCGAAGATTTTGAAGTACTTAAGTCCGACACGACAACGCCTTGAGTAGAAGGGGCACCTCGCAGAGACGCAGGAGGCTTCAAGCATTTCGACACACTACGGCAGCCGCGGAAGGCGGGTGCTCGCCAACGGATCGCCGAATGACGTGTGGCAGGCTTTTCAGGCACAGTTGCGTGTTGCACCTGAGTCTGTTGGGGAGAGGGACGGGGGGCGATGTTTGGCAGTGATGGTGCTTGGGGCAGGGTGTGTTGAGTCACTTCAAGACGAGGCAGTGCTGAGTTTTTTCATTTTAGCTGGCTACAGAATGCGGACTAAAGTCCGCATGTTTCACCACTCAAGGCAGGTTTTCATGCTTGCAGTGCGCAACGACCAACAGGGTCGAGATGCCGCTGTACCATGAATGCCAGCTTTGGAGCACGCCAGTTTCCCCGATAGGTGGAAGAACGGCTCAATGTGGCGGGGGACTCTGCGGCCCCAAGAAAGGGCCTGGAGAACTGTACCGGGTCCTTTGCCGGTGTGCAAGTTTAGTGGGCAAGGTAGCTTCCTCCCGTAGCTGACAGGCCAGTGAACTGGTGGAAGCTCCTGCAGTGAGATTTTACTGGATACTTGTTCGACTGCTGTCATGTAGCAAGGGCAGTGGAGGCTATCATAGGCTATTGGAAACTTGGGTTGACCCCGTTCCTGCAGCGGTTTGGCCGAGCCATGTGTCAGCAAATGCCGTCATGTCTATTCTCTGCACGAGACCAGGAAACCTTCTCAAGAACTTTTCATCACTGTAAGTTCATTTCACGGGGGCAATGTTCTGCAAAGCCTTTCGCTGTCGCTGCCGCCAAGCACGTGTGCTCCCCAGCTCGTGTCTGCAATCCTTAGTTCCTAGTGTCATCCTTTCAAACGCTTCAAAAACATGTGCAGCTCCACGTTCTGATATTTGTTTGGTCACTGCGATGACCGGACTCACCGTAATGGGATGCAGCTGTGCTCGAGCACACCTTCACATCCCGATCCGAGTATGCGCCGCGCCACCCAGTATTCAGAGCCCGGAGCACATGCTCTGACACAGTTTGGAACTCTCGGGTTTCTCCAGCCCAGCCAAAAATCTGAGCTCAATTCCGCTCTTCCGGATTCCGGGGCCCGTTTTGATACAAGGGCAAGGCTACTGTGGCATCGCGGCATGTCGCGGAGTATCTTCATTTCTCCTGCACAGCTTCTCCCACCATCTTATGCTGGTACAGTAGCAAGGACCTGTGCCACGGCGGTGTGTTGCTTTCTCCGCCATTGGGGTGGTGGCGTTCACCGTGCTCCACAGCTGCAGACCCTCAGCCGCAATCGCTTCATCAGCTAGTTTATCCATTTATCCATTAGTCGGATTGCTAGTTCGGTGCCACCTCTTTCGGCCGCCTTACGTGTTTTCTCCGGAAGTGTTTTCTGTTCTTAGGGCGTTAAACTTGATTCAGAAGAGCAAGGGCGGGGGGAGGCACCTCTACCGGAGGCCCGAAGGGGAGATAAGAGAGACAAGACGGATGGTTGACTGCACAGGGCGGTACTCGCTCACCCACATCCGGACTTCGCTTCCTCGGTCGGGGAGGGGCGGCGGAGCTGACTTACACGATCGACCTCCCCTCGCTGGGGCGCTTGTTTTTCCTACGCTGTCGCAGGGCCTCGGGACTCGCGGAGATCAGCAAAACACGGAAGTCTGGAGCGTGGTGGTGGGCCTCGGGCCGGCAGGTAGCAAATTGAAAACATGGGTGGCTATCAAGACGGGAGACAAAAGGGCAACAAGAAGGGGGCGCATCCACCGATCCGGCTCTTTTTCATTCTTTTTCCCACAGGCAGACGAGAGGGAAGCCAAGAGTGGAGACGAGAAGCGAAGATAAGGAAGTCAACAGGCAAAACAAGTGGGGGGCACTTCACCCGATCCGGCACCGGGGCCAAAAGGGGAGAAGAGGAGGGAGACAAGAGAGAACACAACACGGAAGCATGACAAGAAGAGGGCGCACCCTCCGATGCAGCGTTCGTTCCAAAGCGTAGAGAAGAAAGAAGACATCTCTCCCGGGCGTCTCTTTTCGGAGATGTGCTGATTCAGCGCCACATCGTTCTAGTCATTTCTACTGTAGCACCTTGTAGCCATAATCTCCGTGCTGTATCGGTTCATTGGTCCATCTCAGGCCTCGGGTCTGGGTTCCGAGGGCCTTCGGTGCCCTTGGAGGCCTTCCTCTCAGACCTCACACCGGTGCGGCCTCTCGGGGTGCGCTTGGCACCGAGAACACCACGGCAAGCAGAAGACGCGACGAAGGTGAGGGCTTACGAGGTCAACGAGGCCCGGTGGGTGCAGAGCTCGGTCGTGGAGATCTCGTCAACGTGATTTGGGGGCCAGTACACGTAGGACTCTCGTGCGCTGAGGTTAAACCTGTCTATGCATTGGCCTCAGTGGCCGCGCTTTGGTCGGCCAGACGTTCTTGGTTAGATGCATCAGCGCGCTGTGCAACTGTGATGGTGGCGCTGCTTGACTTTGCCCCGACAGCAGCCAGTCAGCTGGCAGAGCCACGCTTGCACAGGAAGACAGCTCTGTGGGTCTAGCAGTGCAATGCAATGTAGGAAGTCGCATGACGTGTGATTTTGGTTGAGTGTGGAATTGGTGCCCAGCTCCTCCGGGCTAGGGGTCTGCTGCCGCCTGGCGGGCCAGTTCGACCTCCCGGCGCTGGGCTGTGTTGGTTCGGCTTAAGGCCCGGGGTTCATGTGCATCACACCATTCCAGTCAATCAGGAAATAGATCTTGGTATCTTGGTAGCCCTGGCAGCTGGCAGGTTCTGGGGGAGCTGTGTGGCCTGCTCCTGGTTTGCAATGGCAGGCCTGGTGTGCCGAGAGAGTTAACCTGCTGATCCTGAGATCCCAAGATGCCATTCATCGTGCGTCGTTGTGCCGACTTGCCAGAGCTGAGAGGTGGCCAGCATGCTTTGGGGCATCTGTGGCCATTCTGTCGCACGTGCTCTTTTGGCTGTGCGGTGCAGCTTCTGCTCGTGTTGATGCTTCGGGGAAGCCTGCACCGGTTCCACCACCAGCCTCTTGGCCAGAGCCACTTACATTGATATCAAGTTGAAATCATTGGTTGATGCTGTAGTGACCATGAGTACATTGCAACAGAATGGCACGTGCTTTCTCTTCAAAGTCATTGCATTAGCCATTGTGGTTTGAAACGGCGTCCACAAGACTGCTTTGCTCCCTTCTGTTGCTCCCTGAATTAGGGTGGAACTTAGGTTGGGTTGATGCTAAAGGAGATGCAGCACGGCCTAACGGGGTTCTACCGTGACTTGACCAACAGCCTCAACAGCTCACTCCTTGTGGGTTTAGGGCTTACTGTTTCGGGGTCATCCAGGCAGCCTGTGCAAAAGGGTTTAGGGTTTGAGTAAAAGTGTTTAGGGCTTCGGGTTTAGGGAGTAATGCTTAGGATTCTGCACCCAGCGCGGTGCAACGCTGCAAAACGGTTTTCGGATTTCGGACATTCATCCCACCTGCGGTGAATCATTGGCCTCGCTGTTCCCTTCCGAATGTCACAAGGTCATAGAGTTAAGCATTGGGCCAACAATGAGACGATGCATTGGGGTCTGATCTTGAGGTGCATGTGTGTGTACGCAGAGGAGTAGTATAGTACGACTCAGTACGACGTTGTCTGGACAGCTTTTGAGGTTGCTCGTGCCATCCTCGGCGCAGATGTTGCTGTCCTGGCGGCGGCCGTCGCTGGCTACACAGCGCCCGGTGCTTGGGGCTGTGCCGGTACCGCCACCTATACCGGCGCGGTGGCATGGCGGCTATGCGTTTGAATGGTGGTTTGGGTTCTCTTTGTTTGTAGCTTCAACGTCTGACGAGTGACGGGGTGGGCGGGCATTCAGGTAACCCTGGTGGCTTGTGAGAAGCTCGCCAAATTCAACTCCAAATCGCAAAAATCGGCGCGGTCGGGCAAGACGGCCCGCAAAGCCGCAAGCGACGGCGAGACAGCAGCAAGGGGCTGGGATGAGTTTTCATGGCGTCACCTCAATGATGTTAAATCACGTTCCTGGTTCTTCGATTCTCAGTGCAACAGCTCCGCAGCAGCATGGACACATTTTGCCGCCACAGAGGCAGCAACTGGTACCCGGTGGCCTTCGCAGACGTAACTGCCAAGAACTCAGTTAGCAAAATCACGGCTTTAGCAGGTGTGCGTATTGAAGAGATCCTTTTTGAACATTCGCACCTTCGTCACGTGTCAAAAGTGCCAACAGTCGTCAACGGACACAGGGATCGCGAGGATCAGTGTCGCCATCCTCGAAACTGTCCTCGTTTTTGGGCACCCGTATCTTCGTCGCATTTTGCCGGGTGCCGCCTCTTTGAAAGTCACAGCAGTCACTTCAAACATCCCCCAGGAGCAAGGCACTTTGAACGGCCAGACTAGCATCGGTCGTTGTCGGACCTTTGTTCAACACGCTCCGATGGTGAGGATGAGGAGGATGATGAAGGAGGCAAGGAAGGATGGATGTTGATGAAGACGCAAGCCGCAAGTCATGATGGGCTTTTGCCGTTTCTAAATCATTCGGGACATCTTATTCTTTTCTCCTGGCTGCAGCGGAGAGGTTCTGATGCGTGCGATGTGCAGCCTTAGGACAAAGAAAGGCCGCATCGCATTGAGCTTTTTGGAGATGGCCTTGTGCTGTGGCCACCGGTCAGCAGTCCTGTTCTTTGCATCTGTGGCGCACAGCCTCTCAATATGCCATCTCATGCCTTTCAACCACCCAATATTGCCCACGCCTCCGCGAGTGAACAGAGGTGGGACACGAATGCCGCAGCCTGGTGCGTGACCGTGGACCGGTGCCCACACCGCATGGCACCGCTTTCCGAGGGACGCGTAGATGAGATTGGCCACGTGGATCCTCGGAGGAGCATGAAAATGCATGAAATGCCGTGCTGACCTAAACTTGTGAGGAGCAGCTTCGCAGAAGTGTGCAGGCAGACAGCTACATTCTGGTAGATTTCGAGGGTTCACGCTGCAAAGCAAAACGTGGGGTCACAAGTCACAAGATGTCACAAGGCTTGTTAGCGACAGGGGTAGGTGTTTGATGGGAGAGTCTAAACATTCGCATCTGCTAAGTGCCTTGACTGAAGGAATGCCCATACCATGGATGGACTTTCGATGGGAAAACTGGGGCATGCCACAAGATTCCTCAGGCGAGCTCGGGTACTTCAAGTGGACAGTTGCTGATGCATGATGTCGTTGTCTTCGGTGTTTTGAGAGGCTGCAGAAAGCAATCAAGATCTTCTTGGCCGCTGCTCCGTGACAGTCATGCGGACAGTTGAGCGGCAGGGTTTAGTCTGGGTGTGGGGGCAACCTGGAGCCAGCATCGAGGAGGCTGACGAGTCGTTGATCCCTCTCTGTGATGCGCTGGAAGACAGTGAGTTCGAGTGCATCGATGTTTCCAGGGATATGCCGTACTCAGCAGATATTCTACTTGAGAACTTGTTGGACTCCAGCCACGTCCCGTTCACGCACCACAAAACTGTGTCGAAAAGGGAGAATGCGCAGCCGCTGCCACTACAAATTACCAAGCGGGTTTCGGCATCAGGCTTTCAAGGAGCCTTCAAGCAAGACACGCCTGTTGGCAAGCAGGGTGCAGACGCAAAGAAGAACGGCAGGACGACAGAGCGCTCAACGATATTCAGTGCCCCAACATACATGCACCATCGCATTCGGACTGCAGATGCGAAAGGAAGTCTGGACAACGGGCTCCTTGGCAGTGCTTCTTCGTCTCTCTGGCAGATTTTGGAGCATCTTGGAGTTTGCCCAGCCAGTGCCTAACGTGCCTCAAGGTTTGAAACATGGACAGTGGCTTATGCGACGCCCACAGGACGGGTCGTCCTCAGTTAACTTAAAAAAAGAGAAGTTGGCAACCTTGTCAGTTTCTAAACGCGTGTGGACATGGGAGGATGCAGCCCTTGTCCTACCTGTGCCGCCTTTCGATGCATCAACTCAAATCGGAATTTTGACAGATACGCCAGGACCTGGTAGAAGTCGACTTTTTGCTCGATTTCCCTTCCGTTTTCCAGCTCCGAAATTTGGGCCAAACTTGCCCCGCTTCCTCATCAGGCCGGGTGCTAGTGGAACCTCGCCACCACTTGCACATGCAAGTTACATCAAGTTGCGGGCCATGCAGGCACCTGCCAGACTGGCTAAACCACCTGGGACAGCTCCGAGTTCTGGACGATGACAATATCTTCTTGCCAATTCAAGAACGCCAGGCCTTCAGCAAGCTTCTGGAGGGAACACATGCAGTGTCGTAGGCACAAACGATGTCACTTTTGTGGTATATGTGCTGTGCAGGTGCAGGATGCGGGTGGCTGGCCCCTTGTTTTTTTGATCAACATCAATATCACGTACTTTCAGTTGATTCCTGGGATTCCTGCCTGGTCCAAGAGAGCTGATCATGAAGCAGATGCTCAGGAAGAACTACATCATGCCAACCAGCGCTGACACCTTTGTGACGGCATTCCGGACTTGGTTCGACCGGGCAGGGCCCCCGCCCCATGCTCCATCAGCTGTGGATGAGTATCGTAGCCGCCAGCCTACGAGGGCCGAGCTCCTTGACAGTGGCCCTCCGCAGTCAGCAATGCCGATTTGAATGGCTTAAGCCTTTAGCATTGAGCATGCTTTTCATGTGCTTTCTGGCTCGTCCTTGTGGAAAGCTCAGGGGAGGCGCAGCACACCGCGCACTGCAAAAGTTGTACTGTGGCGGTGCGGCGCTCCAGAAAGATTGTTTGCCTGTGCCGGGGCTTGCTACTCCTGGCAGCCGGCGCTGCGCCCACATTGTTTGCCAGGCTCCATGTTCAGTGGAAAGCGGCAAAATGCGTTAAACAACAGCTGCAGTTTCTGAGGATATCAAAACCCTGAAGGGGGGAACTGTGCTGCAGACAAAGCTCCAGGCACTGTTGGCGTGGTCTCGCGTTGCTGCTTCTCGCAAGCTGCGTGGTGGGGAAAGTCTGGCAAGTTGCTTGGGCCATTGCAGCGCGCTTGACCAGCTGCTTGACTGCTCAGTGCCAGCAGTTTAACGCCCATTGAAACCATCTTCCGGCATCTAGTGCCCCACTGTACATTGCACGTGGCATCATTCTATAACTTTGGTCCCAAGGCGGGTTGCATGACTACCCGCCTCCGCGAAACCGTCAGGGGAGGCCAGCTGCAAGCTTCACTGCCCCTGGTTGCTCAACACATTGTGGTAGCGGCAAAAACGGTTGCAGCAACATACCGTACTGGTAGCTAGCCGTACACGTGGATGCATGAAGAAGCAGGAGAGCCAACTTAGGGACAGTACCTTACTAGGGACATGCTCTGACTCGTGGCAGAGATCAGCCTTTCTGGCAGGCGCGGGCAGAGTCGCGAATTGCGCACTGTCGAGCAGGGACGACGCTTCTGACGAGGGCTCAATGTGATGCAGTGCTTATTGATTAAGATATGAAAGAAGTGCCAAAGTGTACTCGCATGCAAGTAAGATCACGTTTGTCGAATTTAGTGTTGCGTTGGCCAGTGAGTGAAGAAGCATTTTCTTATATATTCTTATACCTTGCGATGATTTACTGAGCCGACGACTCAAAGTGCCGAGGGTTGGCCAAGCTGGTGTTCAGGAATCTGCGGCTCCAATTGGGGAAGCTCGAACTGGAAACAAGCAGTTCGGACTTCCATGCGTAGCTGGGCCGCCTGGGCCAGCGATGCGTATACACTCACATACGCCTAAGTATGCCAAAGCGGCTTCGTCCAGCTCCCGTTGGATCGTACTGGACAAACGAGCTGCAAAATGCTTTTGCGAGTGCTCTGGCCTTGCAGTCCTGTGTGGTTCACAGTACATCTGGTGATCTTTGCTATTGATCCCAGTAAAACACCCTTATATCTATTCTGCAACACATTGACATGGGGGGATGGGGCACCTTTCAGGTCTGGTTTCTCAAAAGTCTCTCCTGTCGATGGTGTACTTGCACAGTATCAGCTGCTACCCCATAGTCGCGGTGACAGGCGAGCTGGCGCTGGCCCCTGATTCGCGAATCTATGCCGCGACAATGGCAGCGCCAGCACCTCAAATCATACGATGATGCAGTAGATCATCAGAAGCAGAAACTCCTGCACCTCTATTGGCCAACGGCAGTTTGAATATGTTTGAATGGGTGGCGCTTTGATCGTTCTGGAGCCATTTTAACTTGGCTGGTTATAGCCTGTCGTTTCGCCATTGGCCATGGCCGCTTTGTCGCCGGCCTTCGCTTCGCCAGGGCCCTCAGTGACAGCTCGACCAGTGACAGTGTCGCCAGAAAGCGCAGGCCACTGGGCAGGCCGGCCAAATGCAAGGCGACCATGTGCCGGCCAGGCTGCTGGGGCTGCTGGGGCTGTGACTGCCGGGGCGCTTCTCGGAGCCTTGGCCGCTGGCACCAGGCACGTTGGCCGCTTCGGCCGATCGAAGCGGGTCAAGACGGCGAAGTCGGCGAAGACGGTCAGAGCAGCCTCTGTTGTAGCGGAGGTTGGGACCCAAGCTGGGGAGAAGCCAGCCGAGGGTAAGAAGTTGAAAGTCATAATTGCTGGCGGCGGTGTTGGTGGCCTGACCTGCGCAGTTGCCATGCTCAAGAAAGGCTGGGATGTTCGAGTGTACGAAAAGACCGGCAAATTTGCTCGGTTTGGCGGGCCGATTCAATTTGCCAGTAATGCAACTTCCACGTTGAAAGCCATCGACGAGCGCCTCTTTGATCGGGTGATGCAGAAGTTCACTTTCACAGCCACTCGCAGATGTGGCATCAAAGATGGACTGCGCTCCAACGGGGACTTCCGCATGACAGATGTGCTGAATCCGTCGTATTTCGTTGACAAGGATGTCCCGGCCGATTGGTTCATATCCTTTCCCCTCAAAGAATGTGCCGACGTCTTCAACTTGCCCTACACGGGGGTGATCAACAGACCGGACTTGCAGGACATTCTCCTGGATGAGTGCAAGGACATAAAGGAAGACTTCATCGTCAACGGGGTTTCTGTGAAGAGTTACGATGCATGGCCTCATACTTTGGACCTGATGTTTGCACATAGCAACATGCACTTGCATCCCTCAGAACGCCATGGGCCATGATGGACCAAGGACAATCATGACAACGGTGTCACCGTCCATTTGTCCGATGGAACGACAGAAGAAGCCGACATTTTGGTTGGCGCTGATGGAATCTGGTCTGCTGTTCGAGCAGAAATGTACAAGGAAGGCGCCATCAAAGCACCGTCGAAGGACACGTCAAATTTGTCACTCATTCCAGTGTTTGAGGATGAATCTTAGCTTATGAACTCGATCTGGAATAAAGAGAATTTTGGAGTCTGGCCTGACCTGACCCTTTCAGGACGGAAAATCGATCCAAGGCTGCCGGTATTCCGGATATACAGTCTTTGCTGGCGAGACTGTGCTGGAGGTGACATGAAGGGCATGACCCGTATTTTGTGACTGTTTGGCCCTCTGGTTCATCTGGCGAGTAGGGTTGGTAGCACCGGCCCAAGGTGCCGGACTACTACGAGTGCGGCTACAAGGTCTACATAGGTCCGCAGAGGCTTGGCCACGTTCTTTGGACAGTACTATCTGTGATATAGGGCTGTACAGGCATGTCCTGGTTTTGAAAAGCTGCTGTGAAGATCGGCGCTGTAAACCCCCATATGGCGTGGTACATTCCGATTCCAGCTGTATTTGCACTAAATGTATTTTGCCAACCCTGAAGCGTTCAAGTGAGAGTCGTGAGAGTAGGCGACTGTGCCCTTGCAATGGGTCTACCACGAGCAGTAGCAGCCTCATCCAGTTAGGTTCACCTTGCACGACCCATGCCATATGCACAACCATCGAACCTACGAACTTCTCTTCCCCCATCCTGCCCTGCATTGCCCTGCCCAGCCAGTTTCATTATTCCTCGATGCCTCTGCATGGCAGGTACTTTGTCACTTCCGACGTTGGTGAAGGTCGCATCCAATGGTATGCATTCCTCGCTCTGCCCCCTGGGACGCGGAAGGCTCCCAGTTGCCAGCTTCAAGTGTCGCACCTGTTTACTAAAATAGTACATGATAGTACACGGACAAGCAGGCTCTGCAGGTTTGTGTGTGTAGGTATGTAAGTCTCTGTCTGCTTTGGATCATGCAGCTCTGGCCGGCAGGCTGGTGACACCTGGTCTGGGGAGAGTGGAGATGCCAAAGAGGGCGCCGACGTCATTTCTTATCTCAAGTCGCTGCATGAAGGCCGGGCTCTCCCTTGGAAGCACCACCCGAACCAGCAGTCATCTTGCAAGTTTCACGGAACACTTGAACATTTGAATCGATCCCTCCACTATCCCCCCAAGCTGTTCCGGTTGTCCGCTGGTTTGTATTCTTGTAAGGATGGAGTGAGGAAGTCTTCTATGTTCTGGACAATACGCCCGCAGAATCAGTGGAGCAGTGACTTGCGAGCACGAGATGTCGTAGCCTGATGAAACCAACGAAGCTGCCATTGACCAAAGCCAGTCCCCAAAAGCTGAAGCCTCGAGCTTCTTCCAACATCTTCGAACACAGCCCCTGAAAGTTGCACGCGCAAAACAAAAGGCCTCAGCGTGCGGCGTACTATTCCATGCCACAGTGCGGCTGTAGCACCTGCCAGTCCTGGGGTTTTGGCCCAAAACCCTTTTGTCAAAACCACATTCAGGGGACCCTGTACACTGCCTTTCCGGTGTTTGGCAGTACAGGTCGCACATCACCAGCAATGTCACATGTTCAGGTGAAAGCGCGCGCGACTTCGCTCATTAATTTTGTCTTATTGAATTCCGGTGCTCAGTAATCGCTGATCTGAGGCGAGATTTGTACGACCGCTGGCCGGAGTTCTTCCGCTCTTGGGCCGACGGCACCCTACCTCATGCCAGGCTCTTGTTTTAGTCATTTTATCTTCTTTTCAATCTGCTTTCAGATCTGCTTCAGATTTCCTTCAGATCTTGCTTCAGACCTTTTAAGCGGCTACTTGGGTTGAAGACTGGACGCTTCCATCATGTTCCATCTCAGGCAATGTCGTTTTAATGGGTGACGCAGTACATCCCATGATGCCGCAGCTTGTTTGCATGTGTGCCCCACTGAATCTAGCGCATGTATTTGTGGACGCTCAGGAACTTGGGCCAGGGCGGCTGCCAAGCGATCGAGGCTTGTGTTCAGCTGCAAAATCAGATTACCGTGGGACATGTGTCTCATTTCATGCCTGAAATCTCCAAAAAGTTTGAAATACTCGCGCGCTCGTCTTCTACTGTAAGCATTTTGGTGGTGTATGGTGTATATGCACAAGTGTTAACCAAATTGACCTTTACGAGCGCGCGCGGGCGCACACGCGCGCGCTCCTACAGACGAGAGTCCTCGCACAGCTGAGCGCATCTTTTTTAAAGGAGCGTCCTGGCCATTGTTTCAGGCATGTTTTTTCAAGTATAGCTGTCAAATGGCATGTGCGAATTCAGGTACCCTTCTTGCGCACTGCATGCGAAATCTCATTAATTTCGCATGTGCGACTCCGCTTTGCACTTGAGCAACAAGATCTTCGGTGGTGTTAGCATGAAGCCTCAATGCGGAATTTAGTGCACGCACACATTTCCAAGTGTTTTCGAGCTTTCCCAACCCCTTCAACATTGTCGGAAGCCCTTCATTTCGTTGTTTTTAGTTGAACATGGACCTCCCAGTTCAAATCCGTCACTTGCGCTGCGCCAAGCTGACTTAGAGTTAGAGCCTTTCTGAACAGCCATTTCTCAGCCATACCTATGGCAATATGGTGAACCTGCGTGCACCTCTCACTTTTCGTCGAATTGCCTCTGCGATCTTTCATGTCGTCGGCCGGTTGCCTGCTTAGCGCAGTTCCACTCGCATGCATTGCACGATTTTGCGCAGTTCCTCTGTGCAGCTGCAGTTTTCAGCAGGATGCATATGAGCTTGTGCGAATTTTGGACGGTGCAAAGACTTATTCGCAAGACTACGACCCGAAGGCGGGCTGCTTGCGACCATGCGTTTCTGAAAGCACCAGGTGAGATAGAGAGGGGCCGCATTCCCGTCCACAGAGAGGTGACGGCAGATGCCCTGCAGCGTTTCTACCGCAACCGGATGCCGCGCGTTGCGGGGATCTCCTTGCTGTCAGGGCTTGCATCTGACCTTATCATCAATGCCAGCACCTGAGGGCCATGGGATGACATGGGGTTATGTTCCATCGGCTGAAAAAAGCTACAGCTGGAGTGTTCCAGGCATTTGGCACACCATGGTCTCCACATGACGCCTCTTGCTTGCAGTCTTGCACTTGCTCTCAGCACGTTTCTGCTTCATCATGCCCTGGCTTGTAGCACAGATGCTGCCCCCCCCATTCATAGTGTAAGAGTAGTGGGTGCTTGTTTGCCCTGTGCTCTTGAGCATTCGCTTGTCTGCTAGGACGGGACTGGATGATTTTCAACAGCCGCAGTCCATCAAAGCTAAGAAGTTGAACTTGTGAGCTGTTCACCTAAATAAGCATCCCAAACTCCCTTTTTGGGTTCGTCACCTCAGGAAAAAGGTACCGACTGGAGATCCTATTTGACTGTGGCCTGGAAGCCCTTGCTGCAGTTCGTGTTCTTCCCTCTCCAGCTGCTTGGCTTTACAAGGAATGCAGCTAAAGCAACAACAGACACCGTGTACGTTAGGCCCCTCATATTTGTGGGTACGTGCGGAAAGAAGAACCATGCAGAGTCGTAGTTTTTTGGCGCTTCAATGGAAAGCTTCTGGGAGACAGATTAGTCTCGGATTGCGCTCAGATTGGGTTCAAGTCCGAAGCTGGAAGAAATCACTCAACCTTGCTTGGGCACATGTCCATACCGTTTCCCCATCGTTTCGCCCTGCTGACCTTCGGTGGAGAGTGGCACTTGCATGGTTCGGCACAACAAGTAATATCAGTCTATTGTGGTATATGTGGTGATGTAGGTGATAGCAACCCAACTTACCACCCCAAATTGAGTAAGGGTTGGCCAACGCTGGCACTGCTTGGCTGTCCCGGCCATTAGGTTTTCTGAGGAGTGGCATAAGGTATAAGGCTTAAGGTCAGCAGCCGCCAGAACAAGCGTGGCCCTTGCCACTCATTGCGGCTTGGGTCCGAGACCCTAGGCCCTGATGCGGACTTCTCTTGACCTTCTAGCGAAGAACGTAAACATTTCGCTGCTTGGAACTCTAAGCGTGACACCTTGCAAGCTGGCAGCTGGCCGTCTTGATTTGCGGTTACTCAAAATATGAGACGAAAACCGGAGGCTGTGCCATGTCAAAGACGGGCTCCGTTGTCAGACAACTGAAAGCTCGGTGTAAGCTAGCTTGTCAGTTGAGCACGAAGGCTAGAGTCCCGAACGATCCCGAGCGATGTTTACCTGCAGGTTCCTTTTCCTCTACTCCAACCACCCATCCGGTGGCATGGGTGATTTGCCCAAGCAGTTGGTGGATGACTGGGAGAAACGCCACAGAGAGGCCGCGGAGGCTGGTGGGATCTGGGGCTGTTGCATCTTGGAACTGAGCGCTTGTGCATGCAACATGTGTGTGTGGCGCACCCATGACCGCTCCTCGGGACGTTTGTCGAACTCTTTCGTTTTTCCTTTGACAGCAGAAGGGGGATCAGGGTGTCTTGCTGTGCCTCATCCAACAAACGCCGCGCCAAGTGGATGCCCGGCCATCATGGCTGCACCCGATGAATTGAGTCCGTTGCATTCAGTTTTGAAGCTGTGAAAATAATATTGGCAATCGCACGCTGGTTCCGCCGTTCGTTTCTGCGCGTGTGTGTGGGCACTCCTAGCAGCTTGACTGCTAGACCTATGGATGTTTTGATCCGTTGGTGCGGAACACAGCTCGCTATTTACCTTCAAAGCAACTTCAAGGTTGGCATTGATCAATGTTCAGTTTTTTTCTGTTGGCATCCGCTGACATTGATATCATTAGGATCAGGAGTTCATGATTGCGCCTTATCTTAGGCATGTTCAGTTCTGTTCAATATCATTTTCTGGGGCGGAGGAAGCGACAGTGAACCTTCGTTTACTTTTCGGCGTCAAGAATCCGGAACTTGCTGCTTTGTGTCAAAGCCGTGGACGTGAGCTGGGTAATTGAGACGTCCTCCACGAACTATCGTTGAGACAGCTTCGGGAAATCTTGTGGAGCCCAGCCGACCGCGGCACAGACATAACTGTAGCCATAGCTGAAGGAGCACCGGCATCGCCCGAAGATCTATGGTACCATGCATACTATGGTCATCACCGATGCAATCTGCATCTTCTGGACGAGTTCCTAGCTGATGATCTTAATCTAGGCTTTGATTTGACACTGTTATATCAGTTATGAAAGTCGGGACGCCGACTTCAAGTACCTGCGACTTGTTTCCGATAGCTGCGGTCATCATTGATGCCCAATATAGACTTTTGGCAATTGGTTTACGTGCATGCGTGTGCGTGTGTGCACGTCTGTGCGTGTGCGCGTGTGCTTGTGTGCGTGTGCTGTACAGGAGTGCGGACGGACCTCGGTGATTTTTTGCGCACCCTTGCCAGGCGGCCTTCGCAGCCAAAAGAGCCGGACAAACATCAAGCAGTGGGCCTTCCTTCTTTGTCAAAGTGAACCAGGTAGAAGAGGAAAAGGCAGGACGTCACGGCACGTCACATACGTCACTGGACGTCGCTAAAGGTTTCAATATTCCAACTCCAGAGCTGGCGGTCTTTGTCACAGCGCTTCATGCATTGCACGGATACATTGTCACGCTGCTGTCCAGGTGCCAGAATATCAGCGCAACTAGCTCTCTCTGATCACCGGCCTTTTTGTCGGATTGTGTCGGGCATGTCTTTGCAGAGGCAGGCTGCCAGCCAGCTAAATGTTCGGACTCACATGCGCGACTGGGTGCTGTGTAATTAGCACGTTGCCTGGCACGTGAAGCGTCATTTGCAAGGATGGTGAACGCACCATCTGTTTGCAGCTTATTCCTCCACATGGTGGCTGCGTGACGCAGCTGACACCAGGCAGCAAGCGTAGCGAGCAAATCCAGTGAAAGTTACCAAGACGGAGATAGGCCGGGATCAACCTGCACCATCCTGCGCCATTTTGAGTCTCGTGACGGCGTTCTCCAAAAAAAACACGGGGGTAGTGACATTAGTGAAAAAAGGGCATACAGCCGACTTGAGATAGCTCTTTACGCGACAAACACTGCCATCAGCTTTTTTGAAGCATCTGCGCCCCACTAGCTGACGGTCACCGTCTCAGGTTATGATGCAGTATAGACTCGACACTTCTTTGGTAAGCAAGCACCTGTCAGCATGACGGCGCTCATGCACGTAGTGATCTTGCGAGGACGACTCAGTGTCTCACGTTCGATGCTACATGGAAAAGGGATCACGGAAGCTGCAAAACTGAATGCTTTCCAGAAGAGTAGCTTCACAGGATCCGAGATCCAGTGCCTTGCATGTTTATCCCTGGGGTGATGTTGGGCTACTTTGGCGGCAGAGTGGGCAGTGCCAGACTTGTGGCCGCTCTGCACATATTGATTTCTTTTCAGTGGGAGGTTTAACATGACCCTTGCTTGAGTCCTGTCGCTGTACTTCTTTCGTGGAGGTGCCGTTGGAAAGCACGGCAAAGGCTGGCTGCAGCGTCAGACGCTATGCAGCTGCCACTAGGCTCACTAAGCATACTAAGGCCAGCCAATGCAAGCAGTCTTCTTCCAGGGTGTAGAGGAATGCAATTAAGGTACTTCTTGTAGTTGCAACAGCAAGTCAGATTGCAGCCATCCCTTTTGCAAGGTATGATGAGTTTGTGTCGCAGGCTGGTCCAGCAGCAGCAGGTGCGTTGCACACCATATCCATTGACAGGGTCTGTGGCGAGAGCAGCCGTTTCTTTGCACAGCTGTTCGTGTTCAGCCCCGAAGCTGTGAACACACGCACCACATTGTGACCACATCACAAGGACCTCAACTGGTCGGCGAGGCTGCCAAGGCTTGCGAGGTGGCCATTCATGAATCATTCATGCCTTCATGGGCACGATGGGCTCATGGTGTGGGGAATTATGGGTCGGTGTTCGGATGAGCGATGCGGGCACAGCAGATTGAAGAATCATGCTTGTTGCTTTCACGCGTGGGCGTCACTGCTTCCAGGAAACATGTGCCCACGTGCCCTAGATCCCATGCAGGATGGAGGTTTCTGGAGTCGAGCATTGTCGCTGCTGGAGACCGCGTGTTTGCCCAAGACGACGGCCAGAAATTGAATCCACCATTGCATCACTCAATCAACGACATGGTATCCTGATTGCCTGGAGCATTTGCGGCCCGAGCCAGTGCGTGGTGAATCTGCGCACATGGCAGTGCACGAAGATGTCTGGTGCGTCGCAATCCTCCGACCAGGCCTCGGGAGAGGCCGTGGACATGAGCATCAGAAAGCAAGCAGAAAGCAAAAGTGTCTGTGCGGCAAACTACTGCAATCCTCCACCACCTGCACCTGCGAATTCATGTACGGTCCTGAATCGTGGACTGGACGAATGTCGATGTCTGTGTTTGGGCTGTCTGACAGGCGCTGTTTCTTCTTGATGGAAGCAGGCTGGGCCACGCGACTGACAGGGAGGGCAGGCATGGTGGTGATACCCCTTGGAGCTTCAGCTGCATTTCGGCCCTTTTCGAGAGGGTTCAAAACCAAGACATCCCAATCAAAAGTTGGAAAAACCCATGCACCCCCAATGCCTTACCATTGCCTCAATGGCCTCTCAACTATTGAAAATCATGAGCACTTCATGCAATGACAGCACCGAATTGCTTGTTACGTGATGAAGACAGTGACAACCCCTCTCATCCCCCAGCCTTTGCAGTCAGGACCACTCCGATTCATGGTTTGGACACGCCTGCCGGGGACTTGCTGCAGGTAAGTACGGGGTCGATCTTCTTTTGCTCAAGCTTGGAAGGATCGCCTCATCTCGTGCTGCTGCCACATCCGTGAGCTCATACCAGCAACCTGTGCTGTTTCAGCAAGAGGCCCTGCCGGAGTCAGGTGCCACTGCAACACATAGGCCTAGGCATTTATCACATGTATGTATGCATGCATGTATGTGGGCATTCTTTTATTTTTGCCTGTGGGTGTGCGTGTGCGTGTTTTGAGTTCGTGCTGCCATGATGATCTGCGCGAGCGGGGTGTGAAGAGCAAGGCAAACAGGAACAGCGTGCTGCCTGAGACTGAGCTGAGGCAAGTCATGTGCGAGTGTTCGTGGACATGCTGGGCCACTAGCTTGGTTTGTGTGCGAGAAGGGGTTCTAGTCCGATTCGAAGCCTGGGGTACTGTAATTTGTGGGCATTGTATCTTGAGCGGATGGCGATGGGGACTGTCAAAGCCGGCGAACCCAGTAGGTTTCTTAAAAGAGAGAACGAAGGAAATCTCCCCGACACACATCTGCCCGACATAGTATGCAAGGTGCAGAGCCTTGAAGAGTTTTAGATTTAGAGTGAGGGCTTTAGAGGCCCGAGCTTGTTGTGCTAGAGTGACTCAAAAATGACTTGTGGTGCAGTTTGATGCAGTTTGCATTTGCAAGGCTACCGCCAGTTGCGAGCAACGTCCTGCGATTCCTTGGCTCCATCCTGGGCGGCTTTGACGCGGAAGAAAGCCTAGTGTGGAAGCATCACGCAGAATTATACTTGAATAAATCGCACGCGCACACATATACTATATATCTGTGTACTTATATATATATATATGGGTGATAATGGACTTTCACTGAGGAACAGTTGTTTTTGAATGTATTGGTCAGTTGGAACAATGGTTTTGGGGGAAATGGACATTGCTCAGGGCTGCTCACCTAGCCGAGCCTAGCTGAGCTTGTGCTTACGGCCTCGACTAGAATTTTCGGGAGCCATCGTTCCATCATTTCCGTCTCACTAGATTGAAGTTTGATCTCGAAAGCTAGCGGAGCCGGGCCTGAGATTTGTTTCAGCTTCAGCAGGTAGGGCCCGGCAAGGCCTGGAAAGCATATGTACTGTGTTAATGGACCTTGCTGCTTGGCAGGGGGGAAGCTAGCCCAAATGCGAGTGTTCTCAAACCTCATGAGCCATATATGGCCATATCATATGGGGCCAACATGTTTTTCTGGACCATAGAGGCACGCATAGACGCCGGCCTGTTTGCAACAGTTGCTGCATCCGTGTTTGCCTGGGAGCGGACCAATGCATCCCAACGCAAGCCAAGACGACCGTACAGGCAAATAGAACAGCCTTTCCAGTTCTTCTGCAAGTTGGCGTATGGAGGATGCGGGGTCATCAGAAAGAATCTGTCGGGACGGTCAAGAATTGCACACACATAAGCATCATCTTTGCAGTCATTCATGGAAGGGCCGCCAAATGCTCTGATGGCGTTCTTGTGAACAATGTTTTGGCAGAGGCGTCCTCGGATGCGACACACGTGAACACACTCAAGGCTAGCCACAACAAGCACACCATGAACCAGTTGAACCAGTGCCCATGTTGGCACGTGCCGCATGCTGTTTTTGTTGTTGACTTAGCCACGTGAACACACTCAAGGCTAGCCACAAGCACACCATGAACCAGTTGAACCAGTGCCCATATTCGCATGTGCCGCACGCTGTTTTTGTTGTTGACTTAGCTGCGTGCCCAAGGTGCAGTGCGTGCCGTTTGGTTGCTGCGTGGCAGACTTTCTGTTGGAGTTTGGGCGCAAGCGCGCTTGCAACGGCAGAGATGTGCTCCTCAGCAAGCACGGCTTCCATCTCACAACGAGCGTTATCCGACTGGCATGTGTTCAAACAAATTTAGGGTTATAGGGTCCACGTACTATAGAGGTTCGGGTGCTGTAGGGAGGGCGTAGGTGGCGTAGGTGTGCCTACCCATTTGCATGGTTCAGGGTTGATATTCTACGGCCGGGAGCGAAGATACAGGGTGTTTAAATGAAAGGGTAGAGATGCACCCTTTCCGCATGTACAGGGCTGGAAACTGCGCCACGAAGGATTGTTGTGTCCAACTCCTCGGAAGTGGTGGAGAGCTGCCAGACTGTACCAAACCTGCGCACCTTGCCTCGCAGAGCAATTCGGAAACCGGGTTTCAGGAGGAAAGCAAGTCGACTCTTGAGATTCTGAGGCCAGCTGAGTTACATGTTTGTTGATGGTGAGCTGGTGATGCCTGGCCTTCGAAGCTGCACAAGCAGCACAAGCAGCCGCACAAGCAGCACGCAGGAGTGTTTCTGGTTCGTTTCTGTGAGGGTTGATTTATGAGGAATAAAGGCCATTTTGTGTGTATTGGTATGATTAGTAATTAGTAATTAGTATTGCTATTATTACCATCCTGGCTCAAATTTCTATGGTCTTATTGTTATTGTCATTATTGTTGTTGTAGTGATTATTTTCTTTTTTTCTTATTATATGGTTCTTGTATATCTACATTTTGTAGTACATGATTATATTTCATTATATACGTTTAATGTGTGTATTTTGTCGTTATCGTTATTGGCTGTTCTTGTGATTGTTCTTGTGATTGTTCTTGTGATTGTTCTTGTCATGGTTCTTGTTATTGTTATTGTCACTTTGGGGCAGGTGCAGGAAGTCAAGGTTTTCGCAGTTGAACAATATTGAGCATTGAAGCATAGGCCCGCGGAGAATACCGCGTGGTATGCAGCTGTGTACATATGTGGGGCAGCCTTCAGACAGTTGTCAAAGCTGCTGCACCAGGAGCTACGAAGAGGCGCACATCAACTCGCAGATCGAACAGGCCACGAAGCTCATACCATAGAGGAACTCCGTTGTTTAAAATGTATATGAAATCCTCACCCTCGGCCTGGGTTTTGTCAATTCTAACGCTACGCGACCCGCCTCGGCCCGGCCCAGCGCATCCGCGTGAGCATGGTGATTCCGCCGCGCCCAAGTCGCTGGAGCCCAAGCAATAAGGGCTGGGTTTAGGGTTCCGGGTTTATGGTTTAGGGTTTAGGGTTGAAGGTTAGTTTAGGGTTGAGGGCTTAGGGCTCAAGGTTTATGGTTTGGGGTTTAAGGTTTTTGGGTTTAGAGTTCAAGGTTCAGGGTTTAGACGGTTCGGCTTGGACAGGATTCGTAACCTAATCCTCACACCACGCGGGCCCCTCAAGCAAAAGGCAAGGGCAGGGGGGGAGGGGGGCGGGGCTCAACTGCCGCTGGTCCTGGCGAACTGTCCGCTTTCAGATCGTGGTCGCCTACGGGGGGATACCCATTCCAGGCAAGAAAAAAGGGGCCGACGTGTGGGGCGGGGAGGTTTGTGGGGGGGGTGCCTGTTCTCACAACCTATACACCTTCGGCCCGAGGCCTCGGCGGATTAGATGTTCAGCTGTTCTCGCCAAGTCTCCTGAACTCCACACCTGGTGGCGCTTCGCCAAAGCATCATTGTAATCTGCAGGGTCCGAGCTAGCATGCGGCAGGGTGCCCCTGTCGGACTGCCCCTCACCATCCCATGGCATGCACCCGCGCCGAAGCCCAGGGTCCCGCCGCGTAAGCTCGCCCCCCGGCACCATGGATTCCCTTCCGCCGTCCGCCCACACCGCCAAGCATCCCGCTCCACAGGATCCCTACCGTCCCGTGCGTCCCTCACCGTCCGAGCTGTTTCGCCGCCAAAGCTCGCACCCTGCACGCGTATCACACATACACACAAGTATGCTGTAGCCTGCTTTGCGCACAGCTTTTGCCTTCTGAAGCTCCAACTCCTGAGTTGTCGGGTATACGCATCACGTGTTTCTGTTCAACCTCTCATCATGTGTTGACCTTCGGACTGCTCCTCTGCCGTTCACACCTGGCGGGTCGAAAGTATTGGCTTCTGAACACCTGGCATGACGAGCTGCGATATGGGCCTGACTTGTATTCAACTGGAGGTTTACTTTTTCGTATATATGTATGTATGTATGCAAGGGTGTACCCCGAAGATTCGCATGACCATAGACTTTCATGGGGTTGTCCTTGGGATTGCAGACTGAAGTAAACTGACAGATGGCTCTGCAAATTATCGGCAGCCAATGCAATGGGGGATCGTCCTTGTTCTTGTGAGGGTTTTTAGCAAAAACACATGTGATCTTGCAGCTTAGTCAGCGATGCTACAACCAAGCTCTCTTGATTCTCTCTCCGTGCCAAAGCCATCACTGGCTCGCATGTGGTGAAACATGGTGAAATGCAGACCGAACGACGCACGCACCCTGCTGGCCGAGCATGTGGGCGGCTTCCAACGTTGCTTCATTGCTTGCACCCTATTTCATGTACTCTGCCCTAGAGGTAGGCATGGTGGACACCCCCGTGGCGTCGCCCCAGTTTTGACGGCCTGGAAACGGTTTGTAGGGAAATGTTGAACATGAGACCGTGTGTACATGGATGCAAAAGTTTTGTGCAGCTATGCTTTTGCCTTCGGGGGCTGCAAACGGGTTCAATTTCATGCTAGTAGGAAGTTCGTTCTTTTCAATGGCATTTCAATTCTTGGGCTTTGGCAAGCTTGGCAAGCGGCAAGCGGCAAGCCTTGCATGCAATGCTAGCCAAGTTCAAGGCCGCAAACGCAGCCGCTCACCGCGACGAGTGGACGCGAGTGGAGGCTTTCCAGCGTTCAGATCTGACATGGTTGCGCTGTTTTTGGATTGTGGTTTTGCGCTTTCTCGATCAACTTGCTGTGCGTCAAGACTGAGGTCGTGCCGCTGGCGATGTGGCTGAGACCAGTGACACCTTGCGCGACTCTCAACTGGACGGCGAGCTCCTGGAGGCTGGCATGAAGAGTGTATGAAGCAGCAATGTAGCCGGAGGGCTCCATAGGAAGATGAAGGGAGCTTGTCGGTCGATGGCTGTGAGCACAGCCCGAAGGAGCAGCTGGGAGAACTTGGAGACACACAGATCGATGGTTTGCAGGCTGCCTCCGTTTGTCTCGCTTCATGTGGGGTTGATGTGGGAGGTGAATGTAAGTGAATGCTGCTTTGAACTCTGTCTCCCCTACACCCCCTAGAAAGGTTTATGGAAAGGGAAGCGTCTCCCGCTGCCTATTTGCCTTTGTCATTGCTATCTCTAAGGCCTCTAAGGGGCAGCAGGTGTTGAGATGTCCACTGGCTACATCGCCAGAACAGCACGGCTTGGAAATGATTGGAACACAGTACTGGGCGGATTGAAACAGATTGACGGTAATTGCAAGATCACGTGTTGCAATTGGCTTGTGCTTTATCGTGAACAAACCATTCGCTGGGACCGTCGCAACATTGTCAACTTTGGATATGTTTCCCGGGCCACTCAGGGACAATGTCTTTTTCGAATCTTTTCGACATGTTTGCTTGCGTAGGCATTAAAATCACTGCGGCCAGCGATTTTTGCAGGGCTTCAGTGATGCGCGGCCTTCTGCATTGGCAACTGGAGGCTGCGGCAATGGGAGCTTGCCAGCTTTTGTCGCTTGTGTGGGTGAGGAATGGCCTAAGTTGAACCACTGCCAGATGTTGCTGCTTGATGTGGCATTGTGCTGAGAAGAACTAGAGAAAATTGTCGCTCTCGGGCAAAGGGAAAAGCAGCAATGAATAAACTCAGTAGTTGTTTTCAGGACTGGTGACCAAATTGGCAGTGCCGCGCTGCTCTGGCCTGGTTTGCAAACATCTACCGGCAACAGAGAGCTGATTCTACTTGCATGGCTTGGCGCTGTTCGCTTGTGCGTGCCATGGGGTTCGTGATGCACAATTTCTGTTCTCACGCCAAGTTGATATGGCGTTCTGCTACGCCGATACGCAGGCACGTTGTGTGCAGTGCCTGTTTTGCTTAATCGAGGGGAAACTGTTCGATTTTTATCAGCCTGAAATTATGCACAGGCCTGCTAACTACCGTGCTCTTTCCGACATCGACGCATTCTTTCTTGAAGGTGGTTGAGGATATCTCGGAACTAGAACCGCTGGAGCAGCCTAAACCGGCTGCTGATCATGGAGCTGGACCTCTGCCTGTGTCCGCCAGCAGCTTAAGGCATTCCTCTAGCAGGCTTGTAGGGTAGCTGCTTGCGGCACATCTGCTCAAGCGATCTACGAGATGCTCCACTTTGAGCAGTGAGGCGGCAGCCCCACAAGGGGAAGTGTCGAAGCAGCCAGGGAGGAAGCTGGAGAAGGTACAGTGACAGTGCTGGGTGAGAAAGGTCCAGTTTTTGAGGAGTGTGCCCTCGATCCGACCCCGCCAATTAGGAAATTGAGGGACTGGGGGTTTGTGATTCTGAAATCTGGTCAGTCTGACGTGTGGAAAAACCAGGTGTTGGCGGCAACGGTTCCGGAGCCATCCTCACAAGCCAACAACAGCCAGAATGAAAATGGACTGGCAGGGGGGAGGGGCCTCAGTATCTCACAGCAACTTGCATTCGGCATCCAGCTGTGTTCTGTACTGGCCTTTCAGGCGCACGACTAGGTCTCACCCATGTTGCAGATCTCCATGAATCCTGGAGGAAGCCGCCGTTCCTGCAGTTTCGCGGAAGATGCCGCGCAATCACAGGACTCTCAGGCAGGAATAAGTTGTTGACTCTCCTGTTCGGAGAAGATGTGGAGAGCAGGTTAAAGCAAGGACAAGTTTTTTTGCGCCCCCAGGCGTCGCGAGTTTCATGGGGGGGAAGTGATGCAGAAGAGCCAGGCCGATGTACAGAGGCGCGTCGGAAAGCAGATGAAAGCAGCAAAACCACGACGGACATGACGGACATGGGCTTGTGTCACCGCAAGAATCGCAGGCCTTGCTGGATCCTGCCAAAGGCGAAGTGAGTGACGTGAGCCAGCAATCTCGTCACAGGAAAAGCTGACAAAGAATGAAGGTTTACTGATTCTCAACCGCTGCAGCACTGAAACGCCAGCCAGCACCTTCGCAAATGAGGATGCTTCTTGCGTTGCGCAAAGGCCAGCTGAGACATATGGCTCTGTGTGCAGCGCCGTCGTCCGAAGTTGTGCAAAGGCTGGGGGGCTCGATGGGTGACCGCGCTGCTTTACAATGCAAGTTCTGAAGGCATCGCAGTGGGAAGCTGCGGCGCAAGCCTGACTGGAATTTTGCACGTTGTACTGCCAGCGCTCCGCCAACTTCGACCCCAGCTCCAAGCGGCTGAGGTTTGGCTTCTACTGCCCACAACAGGCGGGACTTTCGTGTGCAGCGGCTAGATTTTCTTTTTGGGTTGAGTGGAGATTCTTGGACATTGTAATTCAGCATCCTTTAGCTTTTTGAGCGTTGTCTGTGTTCGATACATGGATATGGGGAAGCATCTGGCAGGCTCTCGGGCTGGCAGTATTCATGGTACCTGTTTGGGGCGCAAAGGGTTTTCATGTGGTAGAGTAGGATCGGAAGGCCAAGGCCACGGAGGACCCTAGCCCTCGCCTTCCCGTGAATGGAGAAAGGTTTTAGCGCCAGATGTGCCCCCGGTTTTCTTTTTTGTGCTTGTGTTGTTGAAGGTGTTGCCGATGTTTCCGCTCACTGCCGGAGCCCCATACAGCAAACCTTTGTTGCATATGCTGGCCGCAGAGATGTAGTCTTCACCGTCGCCCAAGGTTCAGCTCTGATTGCCTGCCACATGCTCAGTCTCCGCCGACACTGCTGACATAGGTCAAACGCAGCTCTACGGTGGAGACATTCCTTGTCGAGAGGGCCAGGCCGTGCACAAGTGCCCCCCCCCAAGGCCGCGTCCGTGGGCATTGGGCCGAGGCAGAAGCACTGCTTGAGGCGGGACTCATGAGGGTTTTATAAGAATCTGTCAGACCTTGTTTGACGTTTGAGCTTGTTTTTTGGGCGCCAGGCCATGAAGGAAGCACCCAAGGCCGAGCCTCGCACAACACACTGAGAAGAATGCGGGGGGGGGGGGGGGTTCGGGTTTCGGGGGAGGGGATATGCGGCGTTGCAATGCGTTGCAGGCTTAGACTCTGAATCGGCCTGCAGGTGCATGATCGACGTTCCAGGTTGCGAGCCCCCCCTTGTCATGTGGTGTCAGTCTGCATCAGTTGTGTGGGTGTTACATCAGTTTTCTTGGCAATGAAGCCTTGCAGTACTCAGTGGGATGATAGCGTGGCTCCTGCAGGCCTGAATTTCCGTTGAGGCGGCAGCTGCCGCCCGTTGGTGCTGCCATCTGGCTGCATAAACATGCCGATGATTGCAAAGTCCGTGTCGCGTTTTTGAACTCTTCCGGGATGCCCACATGTGCAAACAGGCTGGCGGCAAACAGATGGTAACAGATGCAGAATCAGCGAAAGAAAAAAGGTGCTCGTGGAGACGCGGTCTGCACCCACCTTGTCTGTGAGTATTTACATTATGTTTGAGGGTCGACTTGTGACATTTACAGAGCTTCGCAGCTCCTTCGTAGTGTGTCGAGCTTGCTCCAGCGAACCCAAACCCACTTGGACGCAAGTCTTCTCGCCCGAGTCCTGGCTTGAACTGATGAAGGTTGAGTACCGGTGTTGGTACCCTTGTCTGGGTGGAAGGAAAGTGTTTAACCAGAGGTGAAAGTATGTGAAAGTGCAGAATTTGTGCTTGTGGAACCTACAGTGGTACAACTTCTGTTGACAAGGCCGATAGGCTTTTTTTATATCTTGTATCGAAGAGCGATTCCGAAGCGCAGTTGTGCTACATAACCAAGACAACATCGCCAAGTTAAGGCAACAGTTTCAACAGCAGCAATCGCTTATTTGCCGCAAACCAGGTAGCAATGTAGTGAATGTATATAGTGTGCGAAAGGCCATGGCCACCCAACACAGTAAGCACGCCGCGTCAGGACGAAGGCCAGTCCTGATAGTCCGTGACTGTGGGCATGTGAGGCTACCCTCGTGCACACATCGAAGGGGCCGCAATTATTTGGGCGGTTTGTTCTTCTAAAGGTGATGTCGACCTGTCCGACCTTCGTTGTGCTTAGCAGGCTTAGCCATTGACGACTTTTCAGGGCTCAGGCTAGATCGCTTCCAGTTTCTGCGTACCACCACTGAGCCATGGTGGTAACTTCAAGATTCTTTCCGGTGGCGCCGCAGCAGCGTGGACTTTGCCAGAAAGCCCTGGTTCTTGTTGCTCTTTGCGCTGTCCGCCAAGTGGCTGCGCAGGCTACTTATCCTTCTGAATTTCGGATGGAGTGGTGCATCGGAAGTAGTTGTTTTGATCATTCCATCAGCTGTGCGCACTTCCAGCTGCGCCTACATGACTACTATGCTGAAGGGCTCCGCCCGCCACTGAGAGAGGCCTTCTTCTTGGCAACGTTGCCTCCCGTGTACCAGCGGGAGCTGCTCCTTGGATGTCCAGGCATGATGGTTCTGTCTCACCTCCTGCTGGCCGAGCTTCGCTTGTACACGCACGATCCAGGAGAAGCTGCCACCTTAAATGCCAGGGCGCATATCATGATGGAGCTTCCAGAGATCACTGCAGTGCACCTGGAGAACATCAAACATGCGTGGCCGCTGCAGTTGGCTTTGCAGCGGATACAGACTACCTCCGAGATGTTGGATGGCCGTAGCCCAATGTCAGTTGACATAGTGCTGCCGCGTTGCAGGGAAGATTTGGCGTGGTTGGCGAACGGAACTCTGTTGCAGGCGTTGCCAGCCAGGACGCGGATCTTTGTGTACGAGAAGTGTGGAGGTGATGTCGGCTTGGTGGAGTACTTAACCTCGCTTTTAGAAAATCACGTTCAGCTCATTTATACGCAACTGGATGATGCCGCCGACCCAGCAACTGGCCTCGCTGCACGCCGCGACGAATGCACAGCGTACTTGAGCCATGTTGTCCGTGAGTACGGCAACCTGGCGGACATGACTCTCTTCTTGCATGGCGACCCATCAGACCACACGCCGTTTGGTCTGTTGAATATTTTGCTGCGAGGAATTTCTTCAGGTTCTTTCAGCAGCCTGGACTTCATCCACTTGGGTTCACCCCGTCTTGTTGCAACATACAACCCTTGTCAGGATGATATCTATGAGCGCGCGTTCAACCGCCCGCTTAAAGGCAGACTTTATACTTACTGCTGTTCTCAGTTTGCCGTTTCTAAGAAGCGGATCCGGCAACGACCACTCGAAGAGTATGTGAAGATGCTGCAATTGGTAGACGGTTCGGTGGCTGACGTTTGCGAACGCATCGGTCCTTCTTACGAGAAGTATGCGGGCCAGCGATTATCTCACTGCTTTTTTCTGGAGTTCATGTGGCATGTTGTTTTTGGTGAACCTGATAATCTGCCGCTCCGTGCAGATGATAAAACGCTTCCACTCCCACTGCGCCTGAAGGACAGCGAAGAACGCCCACCAAGCCTATGGAAAAGCTACATGTCACCTGTTGTCGGTGGCTACGCCACGTTCCAGCATCAAAGCCATGAAAGCTGGCTCCATCAAATTCGGACGCATGCTGACTTAGGCCGCCCTGTGCAGAGGAACTTCGGAGACGGATTGGATTTCTGA